ATAAGGCACACACAGACTTTAGCACCACAGACGAGTCGGTGCCTCAATGATAAGAAAACTGTGTGAGTGCCCATTTAAACTGAAAAGAGAGATCACTTCAAGACAATGGGTTCAACACTAGATGTGTGGTAAGTGTTGCCGGGAAAAAAGGTTCATCCAAATTAAAAATAGCTTCATTGTTTGTATTACTGTAGTATGTACTATTTATGTAGAGGATGTGAAATATATCTGCAGTGTACCACAACTGATATCTTTAATTAAGATGCATACAATTGCAGATACAATGTTATGATATGCAAGTTGTTAGACAATCATAAGTTATGGTGAGTTGACAGAATCCAAGTTTATGGACAAACACATATTTAATCAAGGCATCCTGTGTTTCAGGTTTTACCTTCAAAATAATGTGGGCCAGGGGTTGTAGGAGAGCAGGGCGAGTGGCCTCCTGGGTCTGTACACACCTATGAGACAAGACAGTACAGAACGGCCCTTAAACCCACTGACAAAAAATAACAACTTCATGGAAATGACACACAGCGTGTGAGAAAATAAGAAGATTCACATGTAATTCCTGAAAGCACAAAAACTTGCAACTTGCTCTATCACCACACCTGTGCAGAGGAATCCTGGTTGGTCCCGGTGCGTCTTCGCAGAGTGTCACTCTGGCACACGGTCAGTAGCGAGGATGGGAGGATAGAACGAAAGTCATTGAAGGACCTGCGCCGCACGCCCTCTGTTTCCTCTGTGACGCAGCGGGTCTGCGGGGAATCTTTGGGGAACAGCTTCGACAACAGGGCTTCGTCTGTGTTGCTGTAGCGGCCAAATGCTCGAGCCATGCCGAGCAGACCGGGAACAATGTATCTGCACAGGTAAACTAGAGACGAGAGTATTTATGAAGCTTTGTCATTTTTGAAGGGCTAATGTGTGTCTGTGTGTAAATGTACCTTTGTCATGATTATCAGGTGTTTGGCACATCTCCTGCAGTGCCTGTATAACCTCCATTATTGTGTTCAAGATCTGGTGGAGAAACAGAGCAAATTAACACTTAACTCACATGCACCCAAGTCAATGAATCCCACCAGTTTAAGAAGCTGACCTCATGTCGGGAGTCTGGATCCCTTTGAGCCACATCTGCCAAAAGAGTCACTAGACAGAAGCTGAAGCTTTCTGACACTGGGAGAAGTTCTGAAAAACACAAAAACATACAATTAAATTTCACATAAGTGCGCAGCAAGAAAAATAATCAAACAGCTTCCTCAAAAAACAAAGGCAGTCCATCAGTAAACATTTTAATAAAGAGGATTAACGAGTGGAATGGTCAAACAGTTTGGCCAGACATGACAATGGGACAACAATGTTATTTGGCTCTTTACAGGTGGACAGTACAGTGCAAAATGGCAATTTATACATCAATAGAGGGATCAACACAATATCTGTAGTATTGAATAAGGGCAACAAGTAAAAAGAGGCTATTGTCAAACAGAAGACCGAACTGTAAGAGGATTGTTCTCACCCTTTCCTTTCTTTCCCAAGCTCTCTTCGATCCATTGGACTCGTGGTAAACCTCTCAATAGGCTCAGCAAGTACGAAACAAGAATGTCTTTGTGCTGCCAGAGTAAAGCAAACAGCAGTTGTTGGCAAAAAACGCACTTATGTTTGCCTAACAAGCACAGATAAATCACGAGTATGGTGTTGTTGGGACAAGAAAATATATAGAACATTGCTTTATCGTTGAAAATTGAAGCTACCATCTCAGAATAATCAGAAGGCAGGGAAGCTGCCCCAGCGTGTCTCAGTGTGATGAGGTTAGAGGCTTTCGTTGCGAGCTGCAGGCCTAATCGCCAGCTTAATCAGATTATGGAAATAGAGAGAATAAGATTATCGTGGTGATACGGTGTGTGTGGAGTCCTGTGAGAGGCTGAAACATAAGTGGACTGATAGAGCTAATACACTAAGGCTGATCATTTCTAAATGTATTATCCTATAGCATTCCTATGGAATAAAATGTAAAATGTGGAACATCTGGATATTAAATCTACCGTATTATCCAGTCACTGCGAGGACAGCCTAATGTTTAACTTGATGATAAAACGCAGCCACTGTGACAAATCAACATTTATGTACCGACCACCATCAATCACCTGTAGGCCAGACTCCACCAGAAACACAGCCAGAGCAATAACAGCATCTCTGCGACGCACGTCGAGAGTGAACACACCGCGGACTTCCTGTGGACACATGCATTGCAGCTTCTGGACCTGAAAAGCAGTGATAGAAAAGAGAACATTGTGGGCTCCAATACTGAGTTATATTTGCTAAGCACGTTATCAGAAAATTGCTTTTTCCCAAGCATTACACATTGATGTACACTGGCCCATAGTAACGTCAAAGCCAAAAAGTAAATTTGATCATTCATGTGGTCACATACGTCTCAGTTAAAACACAGAGGCAGACACACACACATATATTAAGCAACAGACCTACCACCAATATAAAATGTGCAAACAGTGAGTGAGTGAGTGCCTCGAGCTGGATATACAATCTAAAAGTTCATCTCAATATACCACATCCAATATTATGTAAACTGTACCTCAAACAGCCTCATGCACAATACACAGAGGACTGACGAAAGAGTAGCCTCCAATAAATAACATAATAATATTATAAATACATTGCTAACTTACACTATTATATTTTTACTTTATACCTCATCTATGTCTTCCCCTCCTGGACATCAGTAAAGTAAACTGCACATCGATATCAAGGCAGGAACTATGTGCTATTTTGTTAATAGGCACAATATAATATAATATAATTGTATCATAAAACAGGTATTTACTGAAAACGTCTGCTCATTCCTACAAAATTTACAATGAAACTGGACATTACATCAAATAATCTGTCTGCTTGTTAAAATAACGACACTCTGTGACAGCGTCTTGATGACTGCATCTTGTTAATAACACCAGAATCACATCTTTGCATTTCCATCACAGCTCCTGTCAAAGACTCAAGTTTCATGTCCACCTGTGAATCCAGCAGCTCAGTGACAGATGTAACGTGTCATCTTCTGTGTGACTCTTCACTTTGTAAACCTGTTTGACTGCAGTGCTGACACACACACACACACACACACACACACACACACANACACACACACACACACACACACACACACACACACAGACAGACACACACACACACTTTCTCCTGCATGTCCTCTTCCTCCTGTCACAGTGAACACACACAGACTCACACAGACTAACACCCTCCTGTCATGTCGCTGATCAAAACACAACCATCGCTGGAGCGGAAGCGCAGCTGCACCCTGAATGAACTGTTGCTCCATGTTAGCTAATTAACAAACATACGTGTTACTGACGCGAACTCGGGTTTTCTCCCGCCTCACCTTCTCGACTGGAGCGGGGCGGTGGGCGGCCAGAGAGCGGGCCAGCGACAGGACTGTGTTGAAGTAGAAGCCCCTGGTTCCACCTCCCATTACCGACATGTTTACCCAAACAACAGACGGAGAGATTCACCGAGAGGAAGAGAGCGAGCGGCTGGCAGCGCCGCAGTACGGCAGCCCGGCAGGGACAAATGTGTTCCCCTGTTAGCGGAGCGGAGCCAGACCCACAGACTGTAAACAGCCTGGAGCCCCACATGAATACTGTTATAACTTTATACTTTATACTGTTATAACTTTATACTTTATACTGTTATAACTTTATACTGGTGTAACTTTATACTGTTTTAACTTTATACTATTATAACTTTACACTTTATACTGTAATAACTTTATACTGTTTTGACGTTATACTGTTTTAAATGTATACTGGTGTAACTTTATATTATATACTGTTATAAATGTATACAGTTTTAACTTTAAACTGGTGTAACTTTATACTATATACTGTCATAACATTATACTGTTATAACTTTATTCTGTTTTAACTTTATACTGGTGTCACTTAATAATTTATACTTTATACTGTTATAACTGTATACTGTTATAACTTTATACATTATACTGTTATAACTTCATACTGTTTTAACTTTATACTGTTWTAACTKYATACWKT